TTGGGACAGCTGGAGAAAATTTAAATATAGATTCTTTATTAGATAATATAATTGTGTCAATATGGTATTTCTTGGATGTGAAGATAATATTGTGGTTATTTATGAGAATGTCCTTTTGCTTAAGAGATTCATGTTAGTTGTTTGGAGCAAAATGACTTTCAAATGGCTTGTAAGAATACAAACATGTAAACCTAAAGAAAATATTTATAATTGATAAATCTAGATGAATAGTATAGTGTCCATTATATTATTTTTCTAAATATTTGAAATACGTGAAATTAAAATATTTGGAAGGCAGGGGAGGAGAGATTTTATCTTCAAGATACTATTCTCTGAAAAAAGAGTTCAGAATACAATCTTAATGGCCCAAAGATTGACTGGAACTCACTAATAGCAAAAAGCTATGTGTATGCAAATACCTTGTTGACCCTCAACCATGAAAAAAATATATATAACAAGAAAGCTAACAAATGCCTCACTGGAAAGTAGGCTGGGTAGTTTTTAACACTTAATCCAGAAAAAAAAGTTTGATAAAGAGTTCTATAGTCCCAATTAGATGAATTCTCAGTGGTCCATTTATTCACACATAATAGGCATTTTCTGAAAAGCTACACATGCCAGACTTTCTGTGGGGGGGAGGGGTCCTATCATGGACAAGCACTTCAGACTTGCATTCACTTTCTCCTGAAAGAGTGCCTAACTGGCAGTGCTGGCTCAGTTGTGTATCTGAATAAATGGTAGGTGAGCACATAGAGTAACGAAACAAGTAAATGCATAAACAAATGACATAAAATAAGAGGAAATGCAGTGTTACAGCCTGGTCTGGTAATGCTGTGTAGGATATCTGGTTGGCCAGGTAAAGAAGTGTTGGGTGTGATATGGAGAGGATACTGTAGGCAGTAAGCATACCCAGGAAATAGAGGAAACGAAGGGTTCCGTTTCATTTTGTCTGGCTGTCAATGATGGCAGAGTTGGAATAATCAGTTGCATTTTAAACATGTTGAGTTATCAGGGCTTGTAAGATATCTAATTGCAAAACAAACATGGAAGTAAAGTAGAACAGAAACACCAGACATTGCCAAATTTATTTTGGAGGCTAAAATCACTCCTGATTGATGATATCTGAGGCAGATATGTCTTAGAAACTCTTGAGACCTGTCAGCAGACTTCACATTCAAACCACTGAGGAAATTCCTTTTTTCCTTTATGAAGAAGATTCTTTATTCCTTTAATAGAAGTCTTGCATCAGAAAACTAAACTTGTGGCCCTATTCCTAGTCCCTACCCACAAAATCTTAGAGCAAAATGAAAAATAATACATCATCATAATTATTTATAAACCTTCTAACCCATATATTTTATACAGAATCATTATCTGTCGAGAGCTTTCACAACTTTGTTAGCTCTCTTTAGCAATAAAATAGATGAGGTCTTAAGCCCCCTTGTAGCAGAAAGCGGTAACAAGAATTAGATCAGAGGGGAAAACATATTGGAATACAGTTAATATGAGAAGTTCCTCCCTCCGTAGAAAAGGTCTGGTTTTCCATCAAAGGGGGATAGGGACAGAATCTGAAAAATTATTGCTATGAGTGTGAGCCATTACAAGATCATATAAAACAAGGTTTTCTCAATAGTTAGTTGCTGACTGCTTTAAAATTATGCCCTGGCCTGTGTGGCTCAGTTGGCTGAGCATTGTCTTGTGCACCAAAAGATTGCCGGTCCGATTCCTAGTCAGGACGCATGCCCCAGTCACAGGCTTGGTCCCCTGGTGGGGAGCATGCAGGAGGCAGCCAATCCATGTTTGGCTCTCACATAGATTTTTATCTCTCTGTTCCTGACTCTCCAGAAATCAATAAAAATATTTTTAAAATAAAAGAAAATTAGTAGATCACAGGAAGAACAAGAGTAGTCTAATTTTTTTTTAAAAAGCAAAGGATGCTCAGGAAAATAATTTTGTGTAATTAAAAAACAACAGTGAAGTCAATAGAACTGGGTCCTTATTTTTGTTCTATCTCAGTAGCTGTAAAAAATTTGTGGAGCTGAAAGAAACTTCAGACTTCCTGTAATCTAAACCTTCCTTTAAGGAGGAGTAATTCTCCAAGAAAGAGTAAAGCCAGAGAATAAGCCATATACTGGTATAGTCACTAAGTTTGTTCTCCAGCCGATACCAGTTTGGCTCAGTGGATAGAGCGTCGACCTGCGGACTGAAAAGTCCCGAGTTCGATTCTGGTCAAGGGCATGTACCTTGGTTGCAGGCACATCCCCATTAGGGGGTGTGCAAGAGGCAGCTGATCGATGATTCTCTCTCATCGATGTTTCTAACTCCCTATCCCTCTCTCTTCCTCTCTGTAAAAAATCAATAAAATATATTTTTTTAAAAGTTTGTTCTCCAACTTAGTTGATGATCTGTATTAGATGTCTACATATACAAAATAAATGGCAGAAAAACAACTTGTAAGAAAGATGAATGTATATGGTCTTCCATACTTCAAAAATCAAACAAGTTGATGTTATGTGATAAATGTCCAAAGGAGAAAATACTGTGAACCATTCTCCTGTGTGATTTCCCTGGAAGCTGCTGACCAGGGACAATTCCCAGAAATCAATTGTTTCATTTCTCACCCTCCTCATCCTGTCTCTCTATGGAGGGGGCTCCGAGGAGCAATAAAATGGCCAAAGTCTCAATGTGTTCATAGGATCGAAGGCATGAGTGACACTAAAGTGTGCCTGAATCATGAAAGGCCGGTTTGCTTTTCTCAGTCTCTTTATGTGAACATTTGCTGCACTCATACAAAACAGAGTAGCTGCTAGACCAGCAAAGGACTCTAGTGACCTAATTGATGATGTCTATTCTGTTATTTGCAATAGAGTAATACCTGATGTTAAGTTCCCAGGCCTCCAGGGGCCCTTTTAAATGTGGGGAACCTTTGGAAAGCCAGGCTCTTCCTCCACATCCGGGTATGATCAACACCACAAATTAGTTTATTGGATTTAATTGGCAACATTTCAAATAAATATGGTATACAAGTTGTGAAGGAGAAAAAGTCAGGAAAGTTCTGCTGAGTTGGGGTGGGGAGTGAAGACCATAGGGAAGATGCTGCAGATTGGGTTCCTCAAGAAACAAATTCAAAGGCAGATGTTAGCCTGAAAGAGGTTGATTAGGGAAGACCTTAAGGATGGACACCTGTAGCAGAAGGGTTTGGGCAGAGAGAGGTGTGATTTCAGCTGACCCCACCGGAAACTCTGAGACTAGGATTAGCTAATAGTAGGTGTATAGGTTTTTCTGAGGCAGGTGATGCTCATGTGAATTAGTCATTGGACACAGGCTACCCTAGATTAGGACTGTGACATTGACAAGGCAAGAGCATTTCCCAAGATAATTGAGAGTTTAGGGCTATCATCTAGCAGCACTTTCTACGGCGAGGGGCAAAGGAAGGAATAAATCTTTCAGTTCTAAGTGGGGGATCTTCCCAGTGCATTAGAGCCTCTTCTACAGAACACAGACAAGTGTATGGTCTCCCACCCTAAGCCCACCCTGGGCTAAGTCTAATGGGAGAACAGAGGTAGAGAGAAGCAAGAGGTAGTAGCATGTCTCTGAGTACCAGCGAGGCCAAGACTATGCCTTGGTTACCCTTACACCCCACAGTGCTCCCTGCAGGGAAGAGCTGGTGTCATCAGGCTGCATTGAAATCCTGTCTCCACCCTTTGGATAACTTAATTGGATTCTAACATCAGATTTCTCTGAGATATAGCTTCTAGGCATGTCCTCCCTCATGCCTATTTGTACTTAAACATCTGGGCATAGTAGTTAATATTAATTGAACACTTACATGTTTAATTTAGCTCTGGTTTTATATTTGTTCCCAGTTTGGTCTTAATTTGCTTTGTCTATCTATTGGGTTGGCTCATAAGAAATTGCCAATAGTCAAACTTCCATTGGTAAATTCAATGCAAAAATGTCAATTTCATATGGTTCTACCAAATATATGTCTCACCAATTAAGCTGTAAATTTCTGTAGGAAAAGGCTGTGTTTTGACAATCTCACATTTAGTCATGTATTTCATTTATATAGTGCATTACTGATACTCCCTCCTACAGAGGGTTATCCCACTCAGAGTCACTTTGTGAAACAGGATCTTTTCAGTATTGCAGATGAGAATGCTGATGCTCACAGAAAATAAATGATTTGCCGAAGGTCACGCAATCATGTGATAGAATTTGGGAACGTAAGCCTACATCTCCAGATACCAAGTCCAATATTGGCTCCCCAAAAAGATTCAGCCTTCCTTCTATCAGTTTAGAAATTGCTAATAAACATATTCTCTCATTTGATTGGAGTAGTGATTTGTTAAGTTTTCCAGGGCTGATATTATTATTTATACCATGTGATTTAGGGAGACTGTAACTCATTCATTTAATCATTATTGTCTATTTTATTATATGCAGGCATTTATACCAAACTCTGGGGAGTAATGGGTGAATATGTCCTAATCTCTTAATAAGGAGACCCACTATATAGTGCAGAAGGACACCTCATTGACCACCTATAACAGTGTGATGCATGCTAAATAAATGCCAATATAGTGTGACTGATGCTAAAGCTAATGTATATACAGAAAGCTGCATGAAAGACACTAGGGAATATTAATTTTTCTCTTATAGTACTGGGGAAACCTACAAGACAGGGTGATGCTTACACTATGCTTTGTAAAGATTTCTTCAGCGGGGGGGGGGGGAAGTAAAGGGAAACTCTTCATGGAGAAGATGAAAAGCACACTGTGAAATTACACAATGTTCCAAGAAAAGACTCAAACACTGAATAACTTGCCCATGGTCTCATGGTTGTCATTGGAATCCAGTCTTTGCTGCCCAGTTAATGCTCTCCCTTTACAGTGTCTTGCACAAAGGCTGTCACATTAAATAAATGGGATGTACTATGATATAACGCTTTCTTAGTGCTCCCCTAATGCAGATTCTCCCCTTTGGTTTTTTTTTTGCAGTGTTCCAAGATGTGCATGTTATGATATTTGTTGGATTTGGCTTCCTCATGACTTTCCTGAAGAAATATGGCTTCAGTAGCGTGGGCATCAACCTACTGATTGCTGCTCTGGGTCTCCAATGGGGCACTCTTGTACAGGGGATCCTTCACAGCCATGGACAGAAAATCCACATTGGAATAAAAAAGTAAGCATTTCTTACCTTTCAAACATTGTGTTTTCAGAGGAATTGTTCTCTGTTTAGTCTCTTGACAGCCAGTCTCTGAGCTAGCAGGCAAATTGTCTGCCTTATTCAATAGAAGGCTATTTGGGTCCAAGGAGGCAAATCTATGTCTTGCTCTACTGAGCTGGATCATACATGACCTGTCTGACTTTAAGGGCATAAAATTATTATTCTTTTAATCTCAGCTACCGGGAACACAAATCTACCATTAGTCATTTTTCTAAGGTTATTTTTGAAATGCAAACACTCTAGAAAAATAGGTCATTTAACAGATCAACAAAAACAAAGTAAAACCCTAAATGAGATAAAGAACAGGCAGGTTAAAATAAAGGAAATGTTAGAGTAACTAAAAAGTGAATGGAAGAGAGGAGGGGTTAGGAAATGGGAGGGCCAAAAGCAGGCCCGGGGCAAGTGACCAATAGGGACCGACATGAGAAGGGCCTTGCACCCTGGGTAAGGTGATGCTATAGTTTATTATAACTCATAGTTTTATTTGGGATTTGCATTATTCTTTAATGTATTCTTTCTCTTCCCCTTAGCATGATAAATGCAGATTTCAGTACGGCCACCGTTCTGATTTCTTTTGGAGCTGTCCTGGGAAAAATAAGTCCACTCCAAATGCTGATCATGACAATCATAGAAATCGCTGTCTTTGCCGGTAATGAACATCTGGTTGCTGAGATATTTATGGTATGTGTTAGAGGATTTATACTCACCCAACTTTGGACATGGTTTGTGGTCACAACACATAATAGATGCCCACTCTATGCAGGGACAGACCCAGGCAAGTGTAATAACAGTCCTCATTTATTTGAGTGCCTACTGTGAACCAGGAGTTTTATAGAAATTAATTATGTTATCACGATGCTATAAAGTAGGTGTTATTTTGTTAATATTTATACAAGAAGAAAAAAAGTCATGAGCATAGATATTAAATGACTTGCTGGATGGAATCTGGATTCAAACCCAGATTTTTCTAACTCCAAAACTCTTCTTATTACATTATATTTCCTATCAATGATCAATTTCTATTTATTTCTCAACTACTAGGTGAATGGTCTTTTCTAAGTCTTCTGTTAAGGCCTTTGCCAAATTTCTTCTTCATAAAAATATCATTGAGTAGCCCAATAATTATAAATAGAATATTTCTGAGCACTCTCCAACAGGTGTGTATGCTTCTGTCAAACATTTAATTCAACAGAAATTATTTTGACAACTTTTTAAGTGTTATGATTTGGTGCTTCAGTGACAAGCAAAATAGTTAAGGTCTCTGTCATTATAGAATTTACAATATAATTGGGAGACAAGCATTAAACAAATAATCATACATTCCCTGTCCCACTGATAGGCATGTGCATATGTGTGCATGCAAACACACACACAAATATTACTATAAATGATAATACATAGGATGAAAAAATAAGTAGAGCAGATTATGAGAGAATGTAACTGAAAGACCTAAGTTAGACTGGGAAGACAAGGAAAGGCTTTCTGAGGAAATGACAGTTAAGCTGGACCTGAATGGCACATAGGAGTTTACTGAGGAGGAAAATCTTAAGTAAATTAATATATAGTATCATATTCCGATCTTCATAAGGACAGAACAATGCCTCGGGTATGGTACTCTGAACTTTCCCTCTAGGGGCAGGAAATACAGGAAACTGGAATAAATCCATACACTATGCTAAAAGGGACCTAAAATATATTCAAATGAATCTTGGACCACTGGCTAGTTTTCATGTCATCATCTAGAAGAGTGAAAAAATATGGGAAAGACCCAAGTTTTTAAAAAATATGAATTTTTATTGATTTCAGAGAGAGAAAGGGAGGAGAGAGAGAAATATCGATAATGAGAGAGAATCATTGATCAGCTGCCTTCTGCATGAACCCTAAACAACCTCCCCTCCCCACTGGGGATCAAATCCACAACCCGGGGATGTTCCCTGACTGGAAATTCAACACAGACCTCCTGGTTCATGAATTAGTGCTCAATAACTGAGCCACACTGGTCAGGCTACCTAGGTTTTATGAAACTTCAGATTTTTAAAAAAATATATTTTTATTGATTTTTTTACAGAGAGAAAGAGAGAGGGATAGAGAGTTAGAAACATTGATGAGAGAGAATCATCGATCAGCTGCCTCTTGCACACCACCTACTGGGGATGTGCCCACAACCAAGGTTCATGCCCTTGACTAGAATCAAACCTGGAACCCTTCAGTCCGCAGGCTGACGCTCTATCCACTGAGCCAAACCGGTTTCAGCTGAATCTTCAGATCTTTAAATTGCAATTAAGTGAGTTTTATCTGTAATGTCAAGTAAATGCAAATGTTATCTTTGTTTTGTATCATATGCAAGCATAATATTTCACGGAGACTCACCCTAACCTGGAATCATAACCCAAAATGTATCAAGTGCCCACTAAGGACCATAGCACTTTATGAACATGGTCTCATTTATGTAGCTGAATATAGCAGAACCTGAGATTCAGAGAAGTGTGGTGATTTGTCTAAAGTCTCATCACGAGGAAGTACCTTGCCTAGGATTAAAAGTCAGTTCTAGGTGGCTCCCAAGCCTATATAATTTTTCTATTTAACTGTCTTGTTTTATCCCGCTTTCTCTGACAAATTCTTCCTCTCTTGGTCTACTTTTTATTTTTATTATTACTAAGCCAATAAAGCATTTTTTTCATTGACTTTCCTCCTGTAGTGGATTCAGCTTCACCTTTTGCATGAATGTTTTGCCCCTTCAGGCCACTGATATTGGAGCATCAATGACGATTCATGCCTTTGGGGCCTACTTTGGCTTGGCCGTAGCAGGTGTCTTATATCGACCAGGCCTGAGACGGGGACATGACAATGAGGAGTCTGTGTACCACTCAGACCTGTTTGCAATGATTGGTGAGTAGGGAATGAATTTGTTGGGTTCTTATCTATTTGGTCAGGCACGAGGGAAGATAAACTCCAGCACAGCTGTGAAGATCTTCAAGAAAGATCCTCTGAATACTACTTAGGTTTATGCTGGCTCTCCTCAAAAAACTTAGATAACTAAGCCTAAAAGGAGAGACATCAGTCTCCAAGGCAAATTGCCTCCCCTAGATTGTCTTTCATATTAAGAACTAAAATCTCTTTTTGTGGTTTATTTCAGGGACTCTTTTCTTATGGATATTTTGGCCCAGCTTTAATTCGGCCATCGCTGAAGCTGGAAACAAACAATACAGGGCCATGGTAAACACATACTTCTCTCTTGCTGCCTGCGTGCTCACGGCCTATGCATTCTCCAGCCTCGTTGAGCACCGAGGCAAGCTCGATATGGTGAGTGTCATACAAACCCTGTGGGGAGGAAAAACGTTTTCTTCTTTTTCCTCTTAGCTCTTCTGGCTGGCCTGAGAATTAAGTTGACATGAGACAGATTAACAGGAGAAAACAACTAGAGTTAATTATGTGTGTACATATGTGACCAAATGAGAACAAATAGGACAGCTAAGTCTTATATGTCATTTTGAACTAAGAGGAAAAGTGCATAGTGGTTTGAACTTCAAAGGGAAAGAAAGTAATTCACATGGAAATGGAAAAGCAAATGTTTGCTAAACAAATGTTTATTGGACTATCTTTAAGAATAGGATTCAGAAATGACTGAGCAAAAGGGCCTTGCTAGGCTTCTCCCTATCTATCATGACTAGTTCAGATTGGAAGTACAGTTATCAATGATCATAGTTTTCTTCCTGGACCAGATTCTCTGTCTAAATTCTCTCAGGAAGATTCAAGGTTCTTCTTGAGCCTTTTATTTCTTAAAATGAGCCAACTTATAATAAACAATACCCCAAGGAAAAGCACATGTTGGAGTGGCAAAGGCTCCCCTTTACCCAGTGGAAGTTTCATTAGGTGACACAAATGGTTGGTCATTTCTGTGTCTCTGCTAAGCTGCCAGAACAGGTCTCAACACTGCACACCCTTAAGAACATTTTGAAGAGAACAGTGTTCATTCCTTTCTTCATTAAATTGGTACTCTGAAAAAATTAAAAGTGTTATCAAGAAACTCACAGTCTAGGAGCAAATATAATCATGCAAAAATAAAAGATTTGAGGCATTTTTCTCTACTAATAAAGCAAACTGTTAATAAAGCTATCTCCAAGTTCTTAGAAAATCTAAAACAGGCCATTTCAAGAGAAGCAAAAGAGAGTGGAGAAGAAAAGTTGTTTCTATTTTCCTAACTGCAAATATTCCTCTCAAAGAAATAACAATTATATGCAATGTGGGATCCCTAGTAAAATTTTGAAAAAGAAAAAAGACATTAGTGGGAAAACTAATGGAGTTAAATAAAGTATTTAAGAGTATTATAGCAATGCTAATATTTTAGTTCCTTGATTGTGTATGATGTTGTTAACATCTGGAGAAACCGGGTGAGGGATATATGGAAACTCTCTGCAGTATTTTTGCAACTTTTAAATAGTCTAAAATTATTTCAAAATAAAACATTTTTGCCATGGCCCATGTGGCTCAGTTGGTTGGGTACCATCCAGAATGTGGCTAGTTCAATTCCTGGACAGGCACATGCCTGAGTTGCAGGCTAAATCTCTGGTAGGGGACATGCAGGAGGCAGCCAATTGATTTTCCACTCTCACATTGATATTTCTCTTCCTCTCTTCCTCCTGTTTCCTCTTTCTCTAAAAATCAATAAAATGATTTTTAAAGGTAAATAAATAAAACTGATTTTCAATGCCCCAAGATGGTCCTTTGTCTTTGTTGCCTGTGAGCTAGAGAAATGGAAGTGACGGAGTGGTCCTCAGAGCAGTCACTCTTCTTTTCTAACTGGAGGGAGGAAAATAATATTATCCCTTTATCAAGCATAGCTAAGGATGTATTTCAATGCTCTACAAATTGCTTCATGAGAAAAATTGGGGGAAAATTATGCGTAAATGGTTCTCTCTTTTTTTTAAAAATAAGTTTTTATTGATTTCAGAGAGGAAAGAAGAGGGAGAGATAGAAACATCAATGATGAAAGAGAATCATCAATCGGCTGCCTCCTGCACGTCCCCTACTGGGGATCAAGCCCACAAACAGGGCATGGAATGGAACTTGACCTCCTGGTTCATGGGTCAATGCGCAAACACTAACCCACACTGGACAGGCTGGTTCTCTTTCAAAAGTATTGCTGACCTTCCTCTTTGGCCAGGCAGCAAGAATAAGATTTTCCTGAGAAACTCTGGTAAACAGAAATTGGAGACTCTCTCCATCCTCAAATGTCCTCTGTACAATGACACTTGTGAAAGCTGTTGTCTTTCATGTGAAATGCGTGCCTTTAAAGGTCTTTATATTCTTCGAATAGCAGAGACTCAGAAAGCACACAACAGCCAAAGGCCTCTGTTGGCACATGACAATCATGAATGTGTTCCCAAACAGCACCAACTGGCAAAACTTGGATAGAATGATTGCTTACTCCCCACTCTTCCACTACAAGTTCTTTTATTTCCACACCTCCCTCCCCACTCTGGTCTTTGATAACTCATACATTCCCCAGAAATCCTGGAAAGAAAGATATCATGTCAATTGCTTGGAAGAAAGGCTTTCTGCAGTTATAAAAAACACTCATTTTAAAAATTATTACTAGACTTTTCAACTGAATGTTGTGCCCTGGGGTCCATGAGTCCTCGATTCATTCTGTCCTGAACTTTGCCTGTTCAGCTCATTTTATTCATGTTTCTGGCTCCATATAGGTACACATTCAGAATGCAACTCTGGCTGGAGGTGTTGCTGTGGGCACTTGTGCAGACATGGAGATCCACCCATACGTTTCTATGATCATTGGGAGCGTCGCAGGAATGGTCTCCGTGCTCGGATTTAAGTTTCTAACTGTAAGTATGAGAGATGCTGAGTGAAACTTTGATTCTGCACCATAACCTTCTCACATCCCACAGCAGAGAAAAGCTATGAAAATTGCTTTCATAAGCACCTCTCCTTGTTGTGAGTCATTTGCCTTCCTGTCAGAGGTCCCATTCGCATCTTAGTGTCCAGTGTTTATACTTTTCCCTGACTTTTTTTGGGTAGGAGGAAAGAGTCCAATATTGGTTTTTTATCACTTGGTAGGATTGAATGTCAAGTACTGTGTTCCTTCCCAAAATACCATTTTTAAAAAAATTCTTTGTTGTTTAAAGTATTACATAAGTCTCCTCTTTTCCCACTGACCGCTCGCCGGCCACTGCCAGCCCCCAGCACGTGCCCTCACCACTCCCCTCCCCATCTATGTCCATTTGTTATGCTCATATGCATGCATACAAGTCCTTTTGTTGATCTCCTGTCCCCTCACCTCCCACTCCCCACCTTCTCTCATAAGCTGGACAGTATGTTTGATGCTTCTGTGACTCTGGTTCTATTTTGGTTGATGATGTTTGTCTTGTATAATTAAGAACTCTGTGCTTTTTAAAGGGGGATTTAGCATAAGATCAGTAAGTAAGAAGGAGTAGGATTTCAAATCACTTGCCTTCAAATCCATCCACCAAACACTAAAAGGCACAGTTTTGCCACCAATGTTTTCAGATTCTTTGACATAAGTAGGTTTTAGATCTGGATGGAGAAGTGGATTATAAGTGGGTTTTGATATGGATGGAGAAATGGACTGTAGATAAAATGTTTCCTGCATGATCTTTTATTTTAATTATGGAGTTTTATATATCTAATGAAATAAGCTTTATTCTTTTTTTTTTTTATCACTTCAGCCAGTTTTTACTACTAAACTGAGGATCCATGATACATGTGGGGTCCATAACCTGCATGGCTTACCTGGTGTGGTAGGAGGCCTCGCAGGCATTGTGGCAGTGACCTTGGGAGCATCTGACATGTGAGTGAAACAATGGGTTTTCCTGCCTCCCCTCCCACCATCCAATAATGTTTTCTCTCACTCTGTGAAATCCAGTGATGAGAAAGCCTGTTCTTTAGCAGTCCAGGCAAAAGCTGTACATATTGTCCTTACTGCAGAGAATAGAATTTATTGGAAAATGTGTCTTAATATTATTAACTAGAAGCCCAGTGCACAAAATTTGTGCATGGGGTTGGGGGGGTGTGTGTTCCTCAACCCAGCCTGCACTCTCTCCAATCTGGAATCCCTCTCACAATCTAGGACTGTTGGCTCCTAAGTGTTTGCCTGCCTGCCTTCCTGTTTGCCCCTAACCGCTTCTGCCTGCCAGCCTGATCACCTGCTAGCCACTTCCCTGCCAGCCTGATTGATGCCTAACTTCTCCCCTGTCAGCCTGATTGCCCCCAATTTCCCTCCTCTGCTGGCCTTGTCACCCCTAACTGCTCTCCCCTGAAGGCTTGATCACCACCAACTGCCCTCCCTTGCAGACCTGGTCCTCCCAACTGCCCTTACCTGCTGGCATGATCACCCACAACTGCCCTTTCTTGCAGGCCTGGTACCTACCAATTGCCCTCCCCTGTGGGCCATCTTGTGGCAGCCATATTGTGTTCACATGGGGGCAGTTAACTTTGACCACATGGGGGTAGCCATCTTGTGTGTTGGAGTGACAGTCAATTTGCATATTACTCTTTTATTAGATAGGGTAAAAGCCTGGTGCATGGGTGGGAGATGGCTGGTTTGCTCTAAGAGTGTTCAGGATCAGGGTGGGGGTTCCCTTGGAGCATGGGGCAGCCTGGGTGAGGGGCCTGTGGTGGTTTGCAGGCTGGCCACACCCCTTGGTGACCCAAGTGAAGGCCCTGGTATCTGGGATTTATTTATCTTCTATAATTGAAACTTTGTAGGCTTGAGCGGAGGCAAGGGCTATGAAAGCTTGGCTTCCACTATTGCCAGGGAAACCCAAGCCTTCTGCTCTCTTTAGCTCCTTGGCTGCCACCATTTTTGTTGGGATTTGTTTATCTTCTATAATTGAAACTTTGTAGCCTTGAGTGGAGTCCAGGGCAGGCCAGAGCAGGTAGAAAGCTTGGCTTCCTCCACTATGGGGGAAACCTAAGCCTCCTGCTCGTTTCATGGCCATAGCCATCTTGGTTAGGTTAATTTGTATACTCCTGATTGGCTGGTGGGTGTGGCTTGTGGGCATAGCAGAGGTATGGTTAATTTACATGTTTCTCTTTTATTAGTGTAGATGTTTCAGTTTTGTTTTGTGGTTTATTTTTGTCTGTAAATTAACAGTGCTAATTTGAATTCATATATCATAGACACTGGCTTCTAGTAGATAGGGCAATTTGATGATCACATCAGATTACAGTAGGCTTACTCTTTTACTTGATCCCAGCAAAATAGAGCATATAAGGAATAAGTGATGTGCTCAGCAATCATTTCCATCTAACTCACAAATAATAATGAGTTAGCATAACATGGATAGCACTTGGATCTGGAGAAGCAGAAATACTGGCATGAGGCTCCGACTTGTCTACTAATTAGTTATATGGCCTCTGTCAAGTTACTCAACCTGTATTCTCTTCTGGCTCTCTATTCTCTTCTATAAATTGAGAGAATTGTTCTTTAAAATCCCTAGCAGACTTATATTCTTCCTGAAGCGGGCTTAGGTGTTTATTTAAATGGGCAAAAGAAGAATGGCTATCAATGAAATCAAGGAGCATGGAAGTTATATCATAAGCCACCAGATGTCACTTTTAGGAAACAATATTGAAGCAATTTGATATGAGTATCACCCATGCCAAACAGCTAGGAAGATCATAGAGTGCAGATCACTCAGAGAGCAAGTATGGAGAAAAAAAAAATGCCCATTTTTTTAAAGACCACTCAAACCATGAAGAAAAGGTGTGTTTGAAAATATCTCAAAACAGACAATAGTGGAGTCAAGGCTTGGAGGGGGAGAGGGGGTTGTGGAGAGGGGAGTGGAATGGAGGGAGTCAATGGGGAGTAAAAAGGGGCATCTGTAATACTTTCAACAATAAAGATAAACTTGAAGAAAGAAAATGCCTCAAGATTACTACTAGCTAGAGTTGCATAATTTAAAAAGAAAAACCTCTTCAATTTTAGCAGATTAAAATGTAATCCTGCTGAGACCAGTAATAATAAATATTTGAAAAATTTGCTTATTCACATTTCCTATCAAATAAAAAGTTTCCTTCTTCCATTTGTATATTGACTGAGTTTTCTGTATTTTTTTTTTTACCCCTTTTACAAATTTGGAAAACATCTCCAAAAACATATACTAGTACATATTATTTCAGTTCTCTCCAGCACCTTATAGGCTGCTAAGATCAAAACTAAAGTGCTTCATTCTTTAAATCAAGCATGATAAAAACATGTATCAATGAACCCAACACCTAAGGTTATAGTGTATAAACACTGCAAACACTCTAAAGAGGTACCTCATGATTAAGAATAGAGGAATTATTGAGCATCATTCCTAGACCAGTTCCACAGATTTTGGAAACAGTGTGGTGACTGCAGGCTGGAGAGGTATAGGTGGAAAAAGTCATAGAGGGGATAAATGGTGATGGAAAAGCTAAAATAAAATATAAAAAATAAAATCAATAATCATAATAACAGAAAATAAGATTTTTTTTCTTCCTAGGTCTACCCCAGCCATGCAGGCAGCTGCTCTGGGTGCTTCCATCGGAACAGCCATTGTTGGAGGAGTGATAGCAGGTCAGCATAAAAATAAACACTTCCCCATAGCTCACGCTCTCAGCATGACAGATTATTCATAAACGTATTGATTTTTAAATTTGAAAATGTACTAAACTTCTAACAACAATCATGCAAGTGCAAGGGGATGCTTTTATAATAGTAATTACTTTAATGCAAATATTTACTTAATTACTATCAGGCTAAGTTTTCCTCATCAGCATTAGTGTCATAATGTGGCTTATTTTCTCCCCACTTTCACAGGTTTAATTCTAAAGATACCTATCTGGGGACAGCCATCTGAGGAGAACTGCTATGATGATTCTGTCTTTTGGGAGGTACTGTGCTCTGTTCTAAATAAGGATGTAAATGATGACTCCACTAGTGAGTTTTGCTCACCTCAAGCCTAGATGTCTGTGTGCATGTGTATGATTAAATTAAATTAAACCCCTTTGTAGAGAGAGAAACTAAGGCACTGTGTGCAGACAGATAAAAAATCAGAAGTTATGGCATTTTCCAAAGTAGATATTAGATGAAGAAAAGACTGAAGCAAGTGTCCTTTCATTCCTCTGAGAGTTGTTAAAAAATCTACTCATTAAAATAATAGAGACCCTAAGCATGACATTTTATACCATACAGAAAAATAGGCAAGAGTTGGTGGAAGATAAAAGGTGGGAGAATCTCAGTGGGTTCACAATAAGAGGTTCTGTGAATAACAAAACATAGCCCTCTTTCTATCCTCCTTTCAACCTCTTTATTTTCTTCCAAATTATTTCCTGCAAAGCTTAAGAGTGAGAGACATTTGGGTGTGTTCAGCAAGACTTCCAGGGAGAACAGGCTTGGGAAAAGGAAATGTAGTCAGGGTGGGTGTGGTAAATATTTTTGTTCTTTTCTTTTTTTCCCCCCAACATTTTTTATAACCAATTCTTTCTAAGCATAGAAAATGGTTACAGAAAACCTTTGTTTCAGTAGTAATCTCTGACAGGTCCAGTGAAAGGAACTATTAAAGTGTCCTAATCTTGTTTTCTCTCAAGGTCCCCAGGTGGAGAGAACATGACCATCATTTCCATGAACATAATGGCCACCACCACTTGGAACCTGAACTCTAAGTTTCATTCCTCTGCCTCTGCTTCTTTTCCCTTCATCTAGAATCAAATTCAATAGACAAAAAGCATCCAGCGAAAATATGGACCAGAATGGAATATCCTGACCCACAAATGTTCAGTGTAAAAAATGTCTTAGCATAATGTTGTGTTTCCTTTTGATATTCACTGGTTGTTTAGTTGAAGGCATATAATTCATAAAGCAGATGGTCAAGCCTGGTCAGGGCTGTCAGTGGTTGAGCATCAATCCAGTAACCAAGAGGTCACTGTTCAATTCCTGGTCTGGGCACATGCCCAGGTTGCTGGCTTGATCTCTAGTAGGGGATGTGCAGGAGACAGCCAGTCAATGATTCTCTCTCATCATTGATGTTTCTATCTCTCTCTCCCTCTCCCTTCCTCTCTAAAATTAATAATAATTATATATATATATATATATATATATATATATATATATATATATATAGTCAAGATGGTCAAGACTCTTCTTGACCAGTGGATAGATACAAGGTGAATATTTGATGCATATTCATATATATTCCCAATGGAAGTAAATTTGCATAGAATCAACACTTTCTAATCATATCGCTTTCTTAAATGTAGTTACTTTGTCTTCAGTTCCAAAGATTATACAACTGAAGCCAATGAAACAATAATAAATACATGAATCTATTTAAGAAATATGTATTGAGAGACTAGTTTGAATTGAAAATACTCTTATCTAATGAAAAAGGATACCAAAAAAGAACTACCTGGTATTATTATTTTATCTTAGGGTAAAAATCAGCCTGACATCACAAAAATGGTATGGACATATTTAGAATAAAAGACAATTATTTAAATTAAATTTAGTCTTCATAAAAAGCTAATAAATTCTCAAATGTACTTTAAATAAAAAGACTGTAAGGAAGCTCCATATATTTTACTCATTGATTTGGTATTTACATGCCTAGCTAATTGGTTCTCTCTTGCTCTCCTTCTCCCTCAAATCTCTGGAGAAACATGTACATACATGCAAATACACATGATATAATAATCACTGTATCTGTACATAGTACAGATTTAAAAACTATAAATACATAGAGTAGTAATACGATTCTTTTTTGTAGTGCTTTCTTGATTTAAAAAATAGTAGAGTTAGTAATGTTATATATTTGCTTGAATATTCTTATGCTTAATTTCTTTTGTATGTTTACTATTTGCCAAAAGAACTCACAAGCTGTCTGACCAAAGTCTATTTTGTATAAAATTTCAATTAATTAAATATTATTATAAAATATAACATTAGTCTTTGGCTTTCATTTTTTCCTCTTTCTTTTTTATTTATTTATTTATTTATTTATTTATTTATTAATTTTGGTTATAGGAATTCATTTTAATAAAAACTGCATACATACACATGCACACACACAAACACACTCACAGAGATACTCATCATATTTATTTCATACTCAAACTAAATAAATTGTTACATTATTATGTATTCACTATAAAAATTAAATTAATGTCTTATAGGACAAGTTTTAAAGAATTGAGTTTTAGAAAAGATAACTCAGCATTATATTTAGTCATAAAAATCATTTCTAGGAAAATAAAATATTTTTTTCTTCTTTCTGAAAGCTCTTAATATTTTTCTTCTACTTCTGGTATCCTGAAATCTTACCAGGATGTACCTAAGCATCACTAAGGAAAACAGCCCTGCTGTAATTAATAGAACTTCATTTCCTGAATGCTAGAAATTAAAAATTACAATAACAACTTATTAAACACTAGAGGCCCAGTGCACAAAATTTGTGCATTCATGGTGGGGGGGTCCCCTCAGCCTGGCCTGCACATTCTGGTATTCTGGGAGCCCTCAGGGGATGTCTGACTGATGGCTTAGGCTCACTCCCCACAGGTAGCAGGCCTAAGCTGGCAGTTGGACATCCTTAGTGCTGCTGCAGAGGCAGCAGAGGCTCCTGCCACCACCACTGCACTCACCAGCTCAGTGATTCTAACTGAGTGACATTCTCCTTGTGGGAGCACACTTACCACCAGGAGAAAGCTCCTGCATTGAGCATCTTCCTCCTGGTGGTCAGTGTGCATCATAGGAACCAGTCATTCCACTATGTGGTTGATTTGCATATTAGCCTTTTATTATATAGGATTTTATTCCTCTGGACAAATTATTTATTTATAATATTTCCCTGGACAAATAAATGATTTCTTTTACATCTACATTAGTTTCTCTTTCCTATGAGCTTTTAGAAGTGTGCTAATATAAAAATATGAAACTACCCTTCTTGCTGAGCATCACAAATAATCATTTTTGCTACCAGGATGTCCTAACACCCTTCCTTCTGTGCTGATCATAATGCAAAACTTAAGTTTACTCAGGTACTTTGTAAAAGGTTATAATTTGATGTGCTAAGGAAGTGGGTTGTGATGGTCATTACCTCTGACTTGTGAACACTCCCTCCTATCTTCCTATAATGCTGTTCTAAGAAACAGTAACATTTTATTTTTTTAAATTCTGAGTTAGTGGTTTTTATTTCCCAATAGTGTATACACTCTTTTTATCTGTGTTGCCTAGAATTCAATGATACATTTTAATCTTCAGATTAAGTCTGCTTCTGCTCAGATAAACTCTCATACTATTTAATAACTTCCACTGCTTCATCTCTTCATTTTTATTCTTTTAGCACTGTTTTTATTTATCCAGAAGGTCAACTGCATTTGTTATCCAAATATATTATTTTCCGACCTTATCTCATTGGTTTTAACAGAGAATCTCTGTTCCTTTTATTCCTCTATTGTGTGTGTGTGTGTGCATGCACACACACAAATTATGGTCCATTTTTAAAGATCCAGCAAAATTTTATTTTTTGTCTCTGTGTGTGGCTGTGCATGTCTGTGTGTGCTATGCTTGAATCTCCTTGTTTTTATGATTTTGCATATTGAGAAGCAGGATTTTCTTTTTGGTCAAGTTCAAAATAAAAGTATAATCCAGCTTTGTCAACACTTATATAACATCTATATGCTATCTGTTAAAAAAAAAAAAAAGCAACAATAGCATTTAAGATATCTAGTAGAGTGCAAAACTACCAAAAACTACCATCCTGTGGAGCATTTTCTCAATCTATTGAGATTTTTGCTTCCTGGCAATTGTCATCAAGTTTGGCTCAAATAAACTCACAAAAATTATCTGTAGGTGTGGACATTTCTTATATTGAAAGTGCAATTATTAACAAATGGTAATTTTTATATTGGATATATTAGAAAGACTATAAAGACATTTGCCAAAAACTACAACAATAAGGAAAACAGAAATTGCCTTTGCATTTGGTATAAACCAGACAATAGTGAAGATTGGAAAGTATACAGCATGATCTAGAATGACTCTTCATTCAGATAGTTTGTCAAGTTTTTTCATGTTATTAAAAGAGCCTGAAGCTGAACATCTTAGACACCTGAACATCTTAGATGAACTACTTTTTGTGTCATTTATGCCAGGAAGAAGATGGGAAAATTTTATCAGCAGACTCAAAGGAGAGTCCTTGGCCTTACAACAGAATTGGTGAATAAATATATACGTATGGATTTTTATTCTCTAGTGCCTTTTTCTAGTTTGAAACATGTTTTTAAATGACACATCAATCATTAGATAACAGGGATTTGACAATGATGACTTTTACCTCAACTCTGTGCTTTGGGAAAGAGCAAAAGTTAATAGAAATCACCCTTTTATGTTTCATAAAACAGCTTATTGAAAAAAACAACCTTTCCCATATAATTTAGATAAAACTCACACACAAGCCCTATGATGATGTCAGGCACAAACCCTCCAAATTCCCATTGAGGAGGAGCAAAATCTGTCCCCCCAAAGTTTGCCTTTTGAGGATATTGATTAAGCTGGTGACTTTTAAGAACAAAAGACACAAAAAAGAGTCTTTTACCTCTTCCTCACTTGTGAATTCAGGTAGAAAAATCTGCTCCAGGAAGAAAGATCACCTTAGCCTAAGTGTAGCAGACAAGGAGCAACCTGGCCAAATCTGTTAGACTCCCTTTTGTGTCCCATTGTTTCTGGGGACTCAGAAATAATTTGTTTATCAAATGTTTGCTCCTTCTTACCTGCCTGTGAATTACCCATCTTCTTCTTAAAGTCCCAGACCATTACTCCCTATTCCTTAGCTCAAGATGGCATTTAAGCCACAACTGTCTGATATGTCCTCAGATTTCATTTAAGTCAACTCATTACCTGATTTGAGTCAATTCTTATGGAACACTTGCATGTAAATATGTAATAAATTTGTTTTTTGTCTTGTTTATCTGTTTCATGACAATTTGTTTATTCATCAGCCAGAAGAACTAAGAGGGAAAACACCATAAGATGCTGGCCTCAGGGTAAAATGTTCTCTGGAACTACTACTACCCTATCAAGCTGTCCTTTCATCCGTTTGCACGTGCCCTAGTCTTTCTGGACTTGCTCACTCCTTTCAATAAATTTTATATTGATTTCAGAGAGGGAGGGAGAGAGAGAGATAGAAATATAAATGATGAGAGAATTATTGATTGGCTGCCTCCTGCGTGCCCTACTGGGGATTGAGGTCACAACCCAGGCCAGTCATGGTACAGGAATTGAACCATGACCTTCTGGTTCATAGGTTGATGCTTAACCACTTAGCCATACTGGCTGGGCTCTATACTGTTAAGATACTTGCAGACATTATTACAATCACAATCTTCTCATTATCACAATAGTCCCTTTCACTCCTTTATATATATATATTTGCTTTTAGCTTCTTACTGACACTGTTGTGCCTGTTGGTTTGCAGTGCTGATTATATTCTGAGCGATGTAATAGAAGTTTTCTAGCTGTTTCCAGATTGCTCACCCATGTATATAGTAATATCTAATGAATTAATCAAAATAATTTTTTCTGCTTTTAAAGTATTTTATATTGCTTGCACTACAAGATTTATAAAAGGAATTTAGTTAAGATATATTGGATTGTTAAATATATTTGGGAA